CATTTCGATTTTAACATTTTGATATGGGGTAGAAAAGTTAACTTTTTATCGAAAATTAACCCAAGAAATTTGGTTTCATCAACCATTTTAATTGGGTTGCCGTACAAAGTGAGTTCTGGATCAAGATGCAATTGCCTTTTGTTACAAAAATGCATCCCGACCGTTTTTGAAGTGGAAAATTTAAACCCATTTTCCGAGGCCCATTTTTCAATTCTTCCAAGACATAACTGTAATTGTCTTTCTATGCTATTCATATTTTTGCCTCTATAACATATTAAAAAGTCATCAACATACAATGAACCTTCAATATTACTTTTTAAAACTTCAACAAGGCTGTTGATTTTAAGACTAAATAAGGTAACAGATAAAATACTGCCCTGAGGGACACCCATCTCTTGATCATACAGATCAGACATGGTTGAATTTACTCTAACATTAAATTGTCTGTTAGATAGAAAATTCGAAATAAAATTTGGCATATTGCCTTTCAACCCCATATCAAAGAGATCTTTTAAAATACCATACTTCCATGCAGTATCATAGGCTTTTTCTAGATCGAAAAAGACCGACACTACATGTTCATTTTTCGCAAAACCATTACGGACAAATGATTCGAATCGAACAAGATGGTCAAGAGTACTGCGACCTTGGCGGAATCCACACTGGATATTGGCTAAAAGCCCATTGGATTCCAGGAACCAAACAAGGCGATCATTGACCATCCGTTCTAGTGTTTTACAGACACAACTGGTAAGAGCAATTGGCCGATAATTAATAGGATCCGTGTGATCTTTACTTGGTTTTGGAATAGGCACGACGGTTGCAAGCTTCCAGATTGATGGTAAATCACCAGATTCCCAGATGTTATTCATAAGCTGCAAAAGAGCTTCCAGCGAGGAATCTGGCAAGTGTTTTAACAGTTGGTAGTGAATATTATCAGGCCCACAAGCTGTATCATGGGCTTTTGACAGAGATGTTTTAAGTTCTTCAAGAGAAAAGAGTTTATTATAATTTTCACCATTTATTGCTTTAAAGTTTAATTTAATTTTTTCTTTTTGTTTTTTAACTTTTTTAAAATCTTTCCTGTAGTTGTTAGAAGAAGAAGATTTCGCAAAAGTTTCACCAAGCTTGTTGGCAATATCCTTTTCAGATGTTAATAAATCATTGCCATTTTTTAAATGTTTAACTGTGGCTTTAGAATTTTTACCTTTTATCTTTTGTATCATGTTCCATACTTTTGTCATCGGAGAGTGCGAGATGTTATCTCCGAGACAAATTTCTTCCAAGACGTTCGTCGTGCTTGCCTGCAAGTCCGCCGTGCCTTAGCGCGAAAAACACGGAAATTACTCAAGTTTTCCGTCGTTGGTTTTTGATTGAACCGTCTTTCAGATTTTTTACGGTCACCTATTGCTTGATCACAAGCATCATCAAACCATGGTTTGCTGGGATGTTTCGGATTTGCCGAGGTCTTAGGAATAGTTCTGTCAGCAATTGACGTTAAAACTGTATTAAAAGTTAAAATTGGATCTTGTACAGTCTCAAACATCTTTGACTGAAGTTCCGCTTGACAGAGATTCTCAAACAAGGACCAGTCCGCCTTGTCAAGTTTCCAACGTGGTACTCTCTGTTGGGCAGAAGTAAAAAGATGTTCAAGTACTATTGGAAAGTGATCACTTCCACATAGATCATCATGAACACGCCATGAATAATCCAGAAGAAGAGAGGGATCGCAAATAGTGATATCAATAGCAGAATAAGACCCGTTTCCAGGATGAAGATAAGTATTAGATCCATCATTAAAAATGCATAATCCTTCTTGAGAGACAAAGTCCTCAATGATCTTACCTTTGATATTATGAGACTTGCTTCCCCACAAGGGGTTGTGTGCATTGAAGTCGCCCATAAGTATAAATGGTGAGGGTAATTGATCAGTGAGGTTTTTGAGTTTAGCTTTATCGATAATTGAATTGGGTGGAATATATATAGAACATAATGTAATTGTTTTATCTAATGATAAACGAATTGCAACTGCCTGCAGATCCGTGGTGAGTTGGACTGTGCTATGAATGACGTTGTCCTTCACAAAAATGGATGATCCGCCTGCAGCACGTTCATCTACCTTAGAAAATGTGCTATACATGTTGTATCCTTTTAAAGATACATTGTCACTTTCTTTTAAATGAGTTTCTTGAAGACAAAATGCAGTAGGTAAAAAAGACTGAACTAGAAGCGTTAACTCGAGAAGATTTATTTTAAGACCTCGGCAATTCCATTGGATGATATTAGTCATGTTTTGTTAATAGACGGGCGAATGCTATCGAGTTTGCCAGCATTCTTATTTCGCTCACCCTGAGATTGTAATCTTTCGGGTGGCGGAACACTTTCGATTTCCATTTCTGATTCGTCGTTAAGTGTTGAAAATCTGTTGTGTGAGGAGAGTCGTCGATCTCCAGGACCATGCGCAGGTGGTTTTACTCCGCCTCGACCCCTACCCCGCGACCTCGAATCAGAAGACTTCTGAGAGGATGTATTTGCTGGCTTCTTTGGGATATCCTTCTGTTCTGGAGAACGAAGAGGAGACGGGGCTTTAGAAGACTTTGTACTAGATGCAGAAGATAAACTAGTTTTATTAGATGCAGATGAAGGAGGACTATTGGAGATGGGAGAATCATCAATGTCACTTGGAAGATCCCAGACAGATTCACCGCCCCAACTGTCTGATTTAACTGTATCTTTTTTATTTGATTTCTTTTTTTCATTTTTTTTAGATGATGACATTGAGCTCTGTAAGGAAGATTGAGTTGACTGAGTACTGGTTTTAGAAGGTGTTGGTTTTCTTGGAATTAATATTTTATCGTTAGGTTCTGTTTCAACAGGCAGCATTGTAAATGTCTCAGCATCAATTGGCCAGGTCATGCGAGTTTGTGTATGCTCGTGACTGAATGAGCGGACAACTTTGCTGGCGTACGATGGTCTGTTCGAAACAAGGAGATCATTCGAAACAGAAGCTATCTGTTTAGCTTCTGGGTAACTGATGTTTCTTTCTGTTTTAATTTTGATAATATTTTTTTCTTTAAGGTAAACAGGGCAGTCCCTAGATGATGAAAAATGGGATTCACCACAGTTTACGCATTTAGAAGATTCAGAGCTACAGGTTGTTCCCTCGTGTCCTTCGTCAGAACACTTGAAGCATCTCTGCGTACCACGACATTGTTTGCTTCCATGACCAAACTTTTGACAAGTGAAGCATCGAATTGGGTTAGGGATAAACCTGTCAACTCTGATTCCGAAGCAACCTAAAGTAATAGATGGAGGAGGAGTTGGAGTTCTAAATGTCAAAAGATATGTATTTAATTTGATTATATTTCCATTCTTTTTTATTTGAAATCTAACAACATCAGTTACACCTTGGCTTGAAAGTTCCTCACAGATTTCTTCCACGGTAAGGTCACCAAGGTATTGACTTCTGTCTCGAATGATCCCCTTACAGCTGTTCAAACTGTTGTGAGGAGAGGCAGAAACAGGAAAGTTTGTAATTGTTGTCATTGTAAGCAAATTTGTTGATTGACTTTTGTTGGAACATTCAACCAACAAATTGCCTGATCTCATTTTTGAAACTTTTTTTACAGTACCAGCAACGCTTTGAATTTGTTTGTGAATCACAAAGGGAGATATTTTGGAAATTGGTTTTTCATCTGTTCCTTTTATTACAATAAATCTGGGCCAACTGTCATCTTCCTGACAGGGCACTGAATCATCACATTTTCTTTTTTTATGTATTAAAGCTGATTTAGAGGGTTGGTTTTGTTGTGCCATAGGAAATGAGAAAGATTCACCATTCTTGTCATCCACCCACCTCGGAGTGCCTACAAGGGCGATGCTGTGTTTCCGTGGCGAGCCGGGGTCAAGTGCTAATGCTGAAAACGAGCTCCAAGTATAACATGTATAATGTAGCTGGTCCCCAAAATTAGCACCCAAGATCCACTGCGGAAAGCACCAGATGTTCCAAGAATGGTATACTCAAGCAGAGCGTATCCATCAAGCGAAATAGAAAGCGTACCACTTGATTGACCCATGAGCCATCGCCTTCTTCAGTTATCCGAAATATAAATAGCTTAATTTAAAACACATGTGTATATAATGAAAATTGTTACAAGAAAGCTTATTGTTGAGGATTAACTGAAGGGCTCGACATGACCAGCCGATTGATCGAACCGGGTCCATCCGACCTCCCGTTTAGATGATATTGGAGCCAAAGCAGCTTATTGAACTATAGTCTCGTCCGTCCGGGTATTTTTCTGACCGTAAGAAGTCTGGCTACAGCCCTCATCCGCAAGGATCTCGTCAACCACCGACACGGGTAGCAACCCACGGCCAACGGGTTGGAGAGCCTATTTTATTTAAAACATCAGGCAACTCATACGATGTTCGGATCACTTTAGTCTGGTCTCTACCCTTCGACCTGTCCAGCATGGGTAACCCTACCAGGAGACGAAGCTCCAACTGGCATAGCTCTTGGGGTCACTGAGACACGCAAGCCCCCCGACCACGGCAAGGATAGCGATCCACCGGGGGGTATTGTATTCTAGGTAAGTTTGAAATAATTTGAAATAAACTATTTATTCTTAAGATAATTTCTAAAAGTTAAATTTATTTATTTTTCATTAAAGAAAGTTTTTAGATCATAAGTACTGTATTCATTATAACTGTTTTATTATATTAAGAACAATTAAAAATGTATATTTCATTTTTATTAATGTTTCAATTTACAAATACTTTGGAAAAAACAATGTATTAAATAATAACTTATATTGTAATGTTTTAACTTTATTCTTCATTAAACAATTCGAACACTTATTGTATTCTAGCTTTTCCTGTTGCTGATTCCGGCCTATCTACCAATTGATTGTGAGTTTGTTTCCCCCTCATTGTGATATACGTCAATACTTTAGCAAGGATTATAAAACACAGTAACAATTGTCACAATAGAATGGTGCAGGATGTTTAAAGCGACAGGAAAACCTACAAAACCAGGAAAAACACCTCTAAATTACAGTAAAGAGGCAGAACACCAAAAGCTAGATACAGCGTTTCATCAATTGAACATTTTGCCAGAAGAGGAGCAATTCGTTCTTAAACACCGTTTCGAAAATAGAATTCCTGAACGTGAGGACACCACAATACCGTTCGTCCAAGATCCGTGGACTCTTCCTCCTCAATACAGTGACCAACCAACTGGACCTGTTCCTGATCATAACCCGTTCATACCTTCAAGTGTATCAACTCCAATCAGGCCATTACAACCAACACGGGTGGTTCGACCCAAAATTCCACAAGTCTTTCTAACGCATTCTACAGGGACATCAACACCTGGACCAGTACAACAACCGTATCCCGGAACGCCATTACCGGTAAATAAACTTTCATTGCCTGCTTTACAGACGCCGTCCCATTTTTCTTCAAACACGACCCCAGCAGCCATAGCAATTGTGACAGCAGCCACTACAGTGCCATCTTCATCTGCATCTTCAATACCAATTTCAACAACCTCTGCACCACCACCAGCAACAACAACATCCACCGCTTCAGCAGCTATTTCAGCAGGTAGGACACCAATACCACATAAGAACATTTTTAACATGTCGTCTTCTTTAAAGATTGAAAAATTCAAGGGTGATAATTCTCAAAACCCTGAAACTTGGCTGAACACTTTTAAACAATACTGTTCTTTTTATGATTTAACTAAACAAAAGAGTGCAGAGTCATTCCCCTTCCATTTGGAAGACCATGCCAGAATTTGGTATGACACAGTTTCGGCCGCAAAAAAAATCTAATTTTGATGAATTGATCTCCGTTTTTAAAGAGAGATTTAAGGACAAACAACATCTGTTGGATTTAACAATTTTACAAACTCACCAAGGGAGGACTGAATCTGTTCTCGATCATTTGTCTAGATTGTTAAAATTGTCTACAAATAGAAATATATCTGATGATATATTGCTAGCTGTAGCAATGAATGGGTTAAGGTCTGATTTCAAAACAATTGTCATGACAAAAGAACCCAAAAACATTGAAGAGTTACGGCATGCCGCTGTTTTGGCAGAAAAAGCAATAAATTCTAATATAGGTTCCGTAACCTCAATTAATCAAACCGTTCTCGACGAAATTCATTCTTTAAAAGAAGAAATTAAATCAATCAATGTTATCAATTCAACTCCACAAATGGGTCATTCCCAAAATCAATTTCAACAACCTCCTAATCCTGTTTATGTTCAACAGCCTTATTTTAATCAAAGAACACCAAATCAGCAAACATATATATCTAACAGATTTAGACAAACACAACCAAATTTCCCTCGTCCAAGAACTAATAGAATGCCTCCCCGTCAATCATTCAATCAAAACATTCGACAGCCGCCCCGCTATCAAAATCCTCAATCTTTAAATCGTAGATGTTTTTATTGTAACGGATTTTGTCAAGATCGTTCTCAATGTCCTGCAAGTAATGTTGTTTGTCATATTTGCAACAAAGTTGGTCACTTTTCAAGAGCCTGTCTATTTTCTAAAAGAATGCAACCACAATAGCAATTTACGCCTGTTCGAAATTCATTGAACAGGCATACAAAAAAGAACAATGTTAAAAGAAATTGTTCAAATTTTGAAAGTTCAAAGCCTCAAGCTAAAATATTAGTTACAGAAATAAATCAATGTTTACTTCCAATTACTTTAGGTGATTTAAAATTAAGAGCACTTTTGGACACTGGTTCCACAATTTCGGCATTAAATGAAAAGACATTTTTAAAAACTAAATTTGCCAACAAATCTCTACTCAGCTCTGAAATAAAACACATAGTAGGGGCAGGAGGAGCTACTTACCCAGTTAAAGGAAAGTTCGAATTAAATTTTAAAATAGGTGGTTTACTTCTTTCTCAAATTTTTTACATTATACCAGCTCTAAGACATTCCATGATTTTAGGCACAGATTTTTGTAAAGAAAAAAGTGTTTGTTTAAATTGGAATAATCAAACACTATCTTTAATTAAAGATTCAGTTACCATCAATGTAATAAAAGTTACACCGGGTTATGCTAGAGTTTCCAAGACAACTTCAATCCAGCCCAACACAATGAAAAATATAGGTGTTAGATTATCCAAAGCATTACCTCAACAAACTTACTTATTGGAACCAATTCAAACTTCCAAAAACAATTTTCTAACGGCTAAATGTTTGATTAAAAACAAAAACAACAAAGCCTCTATACAAATTATAAATCCCACAAACGAAATAATAAAACTGTGCCCTGGTTTTATTATAGCTACTATTAATGAGGTAGACACTACAAGTATATTCTCTTTAGATGATAATCAATCGGAAAATAAATCAAAAACTTCATCTTTAAATTCAGTGCAGCAAACATCTTCCACTCAGTCTGATCTTCACTTTGATTTTTCAAAAAGTGAATTAACTGATCAACAAAAACAAAAATTAACTAAATTTTTAAATAAAAATAAAGATGTTTTTGCAACTAGCCTAAAAGAACTAGGTAAAACAAGTGTTTATCATCATAAAATTGATACAGGAAATTCTAAGCCAATTAAATCTCGGCCTTATCGAACATCACCAGCAGCTAAACAAGAAATTCAAAGGCAAATAGATGAACTTTTAAAATATGACATTATTGAACCATCAACAAGTGAATATAGTTCACCAATTGTCCTAGTAAAGAAAAAAGATAATAGTTGGAGAATGTGTATTGATTTTAGAAAAGTTAACTCCCAAAGTGTAGTTCAGGAATATCCTCTTCCTCGTTTAGATGATGTTTTTGATGCTATAGGTCAATCAAATGCTACAATTTACTCAAGACTTGATTTGACCATGGCCTATTATCAAATGCCTTTGGAAGAAAATTCAAAACACAAAACAGCCTTTATTACACATGATAATTTGTATCAATTTAAAAGAATGCCTTATGGTCTAAACAATGCCTGCCAAAGTTTTCAATCTTTAATGACTCAAGTTTTAAGAGGTCTTACATGGAAAAATTGTTTAGTCTATGTTGACGATGTCATTATTTGGTCTAAAGATTTCGATTCTCATTTACATCATTTAGAATTAATCTTCAATAGGTTAAAAACAGCAAACCTTAAATTAAGACCAAATAAATGTGAATTTGCTAAACCAGAAATCTTATATTTAGGACACATTATCTCTAAAGAAGGTATTCAGGTTGACACATCTAAAACCAAAGCTGTTGAAACTTTTCCTATTCCAAACAATCAACATGATGTCCGAAGTTTTTTGGGTTTGTGCAACTACTACAGAAAATTTGTTAAAGGCTATGCTAAAACTGCGTCTCCTTTAAATAGGTTACTTACAAAGGATTCTCCTTTCAAATGGACTTCAGATTGCCAAAAAGCTTTTGAAACTTTAAAAACTGCTTTGACATCAACTCCTGTTCTAAAGTTTCCAAATTTTAACAAGCCATTCATTATATCATGTGATGCTTCAGGTTCCGCTATAGGTTACATTTTATCACAATTTGGAGAAGACAAAAAAGAACATGTTATTGGTTATGGAGGTAGAGCATTATCTCCAGCAGAAAAAAATTATACGGTTACAGAACAAGAAATGTTAGCACTAGTGTCAGCCGTTGCATATTTTCATGTTTATCTTATAAGAAACAAATTTACGGTGTATACAGATCACAAAGCACTATCTTGGTTACAAACTATTAAACATACAAATTCAAGATTAATTAGGTGGGCTTTAAAACTCCAGGAATACAATTTTGAGGTAATTCATAGACCAGGTTCACGTAATCAACATTGTGATAGTTTATCCAGGCGTGATTATAATAATATAGATCACAATTCTGACTCAATGACTGAAATAACATTTGTTTTCCCCGAAGAAACTTTGGAACAAATTACAAATAATTCTGAAAATATTTCAGTTTATTCTTTAGATGAAATATCAACTTTGCAAAAAGCATGCCCATATTTTGGACCAATTATTGATTTCTTAGAAAAAGGAGTGTTACCCAATGACAAAAAAAGAGCTCATGCAATACCGTATGAAACTAGTCAATATGACATTTTGAATGGTACATTGTATCATTTTTTCCAACCAAGAACTAAAATTAAAATTTCAAAGAATCAATTAATAAAACAGGTAGCTATTCCTGAACCTTTGCGAAATGATATTTTATTGTCATTTCATGATCAAAAAGCCGGAGGTTCGCATTTAGGAGTTCAAAGAACTTATGAAGCTATAAAACAAAGATACTTTTGGCCAAAAATGTATCAAAATGTCTATGACTATGTAACCAGTTGTCAAATTTGTCAAACAGTTAAAAAAGATAGTACTGCTAAAAAAGCACCTTTAAAACCTTTACCAATTAACGGTCCTTTTGCTCGACTGCACATGGATGTTTTAAGTGGATTGCCAACTTCAAATGAAAAATATAAATATATTTTATTAATAACAGATTCTTTCTCGCACTGGTGCGAATGTTTCCCAATGAGAACGCAAGAAGCAGAAGAAATTGAAAATATCTTATATTCTCAAATTTTTACTAGATATGGAGCTTGTCGTTATTTGGTGTCTGATAGACATGCAAGTAACATGAGTAAACTAGTTAACATCTTATGTAAAATGTTCAATGTAACACAACACTTTACTAGTTCGTATCATCCACAAAGTAATGTTGCCTGTGAAAGAACAAATGCTACTTTGGCACAATCATTAAGAGCTTACTGTTCTAAAGAACAAACAAATTGGCCAGATATTTTACCCAGTATCATGATGGCGTTCAGAATGAGTCCTTGTACACAATCAACGGGGTTTTCTCCGTATTACATGATTTTTGGAAGAGAAATGCCTCTACCTATCGATACAGCGTTAATTCCAGAGGAATTATTAACCCAATCACCGGAAAAATATATGGATCAATTGATAAATAGAATAAAAATTATTCAAGATATTGCAAAATCAAATTTAGAAGAAGCTCAACAGAAAAGTAAAATTTATTATGACAAATCTACTAAACAACCAAAATTTAAAGTTGGAGATCATGTTTTACTTAAGGTTGAAAAAGTTCAAGTAGGAAAGAAAAAGAAGTTAGAACCTAAATGGACGGGTACATTTTCTATCATTGAGCAGAAGCATGATTTAATATATAAATTATTAAATTTACAAACACTTCGACCGACCAAGTCGTTCATTCATGCAAACAGACTAAAATTATATAAAGATCCAAATGATTTTAGACCACCTCCTAATCGATTAATCAACAATGATGAAATGGACAAAGATCATGACAATAATGATCAAGAAATACAAGATAAAAGTGATGAGTTAATTCAAAATGAGAATCAAAGTAATTCTCAAAACAAGGTCAATGATGAAAACTCACAGAGTACTCAAAGTCAGAACAATTCAAATGAATGGTATGAAGTAGATAAATTATTAAAGTTCAAATGGAAATCAGGAAAAAAGTATTATTTAGTTAAATGGACAGATAATTCAGACCCATCATGGGAGCCACAAGAAAACATAAGTCCAGCATTAAAAGAAGCATTTCATTCAGAAAAAGCGCGCAAACGATTAAAAAAGAAACGAAAATAAGCAAATGAAATAAGCATTGACTATTCATTAGTGGTAAACTAATGGCAAACACATTCAACTTGCTTACCTATGTCTAAATTGTCCCTTATTTAGAAAACTGGAAATAAATTCATTCCCCTTATTTTGACCACCAGAAACAAATTAATGTTTTTTTTTATATTGTAGGCATGCCAAGATTTGGATTTGTGTTTTTGCCATTTTTGTTATTTGCCTTACTTTTGACAACGTCAAATGCAGATCAACAGAGACTCAATTATGGAGTTATATTTCAAAAACAATCGAATGTTGATTTTGCAACAGATTATTGGACACATGTATATGAGATTCCAATGTATTTAGATTTGCAACATACTTTAGTAACTAAATGTCCAAAATTAGCCGGTTATCAGTGCGATTCTCATAACAAGATGGTTTCACAAATAAATTATATGAGATCATATATGAATTCCCAAATTCAAGAAACAAAATCGTTAGTAGATAAGTTGGTACCGAAGCTAAATAAAACTTTAATAGGTAAATCAAAGCGAAGCCTTTTACCTTTTGTAGGAAATATTTTTGGAGGATTGTTTGGTTTAGCTACGGAAAAACAACTACGGAAATTAGCTACTCATATTAATTCATTAACCTCTGAAAATAATAAAATCTCCTCTGCATTAAAACAATATGGAGGAAGTTTAACATCATTTGTTACCCAAACTGAAAATAGACTAGACAATGCAATGAAAGCTATAAAACAAAACCACCAAGCTTTTAGTTTTTTGAATACTCTTATTCAAAGGGATTTTCAAAATCTTGATAAACATTATACTGATTATTTTCAAATATTAACTGATCAAACTCAAGATACAAATACTATCCAAAATTATATAACTGATTTAAAAACGTCTATAGTAAGTTTACTTGAAGGTAAACTATCTCCTCTACTTCTCAAGCCTGAAGTTATCCAGCAGACGATATTTGATGTTCAATATATTTTGAATACCAATTATACGGGATATAAAATCTTAACTACAAACCCTCATTATTATTACAATTATGCTAAATATGTTGTTTTACAAAATGATACAAAATTATATTTGGCTGTTCAGTTTCCATTAACAACCCATGGCAAAATCTTTGAAACATATAAAATAAAATCATTTCCCGTAGAAATAACCAACAAAACTTTACACTCTACTCAACTTATAAATTTACCTCAATATATCATTATAACCAATGACCGCAATTATTATTCAACTCTTACTTCTGAACAAATAAGTACATGTGAAAGTTCTAATCCAAAACATTGTAATTTTGTTCCCTTGTTTAAATCATCAAAAACAATCGAATGTGCTTTTCACATTTTTAACAATGATAAACCCAATATAAAATCCTCTTGTGATTTTAAAGTTTTGCCTAATTCCATTTCCCCACATATTGAACAAATAACTGATGATTCTGTTTTGATCTATAGACTTGAAACGTTGAATTTAAAATGTAATTCTCAAAATACAAGGGTTCCTGGTTGTTCCTTTTGTGTATTTAAAATCCCCTGTCATTGTATTTTACTGTCAAATCCTTCTAATTTCACAAGTAAAATAGCACTTTGTGAAGATGAAATAAATGATTTTACAAAACTACATCCAGTCAATTTAGCAATTTTGCAACATTTCTTTGACGATAAGAAACTTTCAAATATTCTTGCTAACACAACTTTTACTAATCCCATTACAGTCTCCTTGCCAGAATTTAATATTTACAAAAACAAAATGAACCACATATTTGCCAAAGATGAAAATTATCATCTAAGTCTTAAAAAATTAGTTCAAAGAGTTAAAAATCAAAACATTATATATTCTACTTTGGCTGATTCTATGGTTGATGGACAAATAGATCTCGACTTTCAACAATGGCCAACTACAAATGACATATTGTCCTTAGTCTCTATAATTATCACATCAATAAATACAGTTGTTTTAATTTGGCTATTTTATAAATTCAAAATCATAGCAACTGCAATTGCTTTGTATCAACCTGTTCAAACGTCAGCTACCACTATTCCAAATTTTGAATTTGAATCCCCCACAACAACAACATCTTCTTCTTGGATAAACGTCTTAGATTCAAATTTCAACTGGGACCACGGCATTTTTGCATTTTCATTTTTATCCTTTTTATTAATCATTGTTTTGATATTTAAATCTATCAAACGCTCTAATATGCATACAAAATTATGTTTAGAAATTACTACTGGATTTCAATGTATCTGCATTCCAATTATATCAATGCCTTTATGTCCAATATTTTGGGACATTCAATATCCAACCATAATTGACAATTTATCAGTTGTTAATTACCTCAGACCTAAATTGCACGTCTCTTATCCCAATTTCATAATCAAGAACAAGAATACTCTACAATCAATCGTCATACCCGATACAATTAAACTTAATGTTTTTCAAGCTTGTGCATTAAGGTCAATGCTCAAACATCCATTCTCAGTTTATATAATATTATTACATCATAATATTAAGTACCCCATTGACAACCCAAATGTAGATACTAAAATCAAAAACGTCAATAAATCAACAAATCAAATGACAAACTTATATCCAGCATTATACTAATTCGTATTTTTCTATTTCCCAGGTTCCACAGATTTACAAGACGTTGAAAAATTTTCGCCATCACAAATTTGGAATAAAAATATCAAATAATCACTTCGATATTGATTATCTCCAAAGTATACAATATTTATTATCATATGATTTTGACCCTTTTGAATCTTCAAGTTTGCAATCTTTTTGTTTAGATACCATTTCTAATAATCCAAGTATATATATCCCTAAATTACCACCTCGTATACACTTGCACATTGATTATTTTCATGAATTAAAGCAATCATACATAGCAAATGCCAATAGTTATTACCGTAAGTTTAAAAATCGAACAATACTTTTATCTCAAGAAGATAATACGTTTATTAGTTTGTCGGAATATTTTAAAGCTTTAGAGCGCTTTAATGAGAATGAAGTAGACTTATCTTTATTTGATCTTTCTGCATTTCAAACGCTTAGACAAAAGGTAACACATAATTTGAATATTCCTCTCGATAAAGATATTTTAATTAAAATTGTTAAACTAGTTTCTTTTTCTGAACATATCTGAGGACAATTTTAAACAATTATTACCATTTCCTCATATATCTATCCATAATATCCAATTGTTCTTACCGTTTATTCATTGTTTATTGATTTTACATTTCCCAAATATCGCAAAAGATTGGGCAATCAGAGGTAGACTTCCATTATCATTATTAAGTGATCCTCTAATTTCCTACAATAAATTCAAGCGTGCGTATAGAAACGCAAAATGCTTGCATGAATATAAAGTTAAAATTTTAGCTCGGTGCCGTTGCCTTCAATGTACAAAATTCAGACATAATTTATCCTGGTATGACCAAGAAGCACCTTTTCATGAGGAAAATTATGTTCCTTGCTTTGCAATGCGAGGAAAGTTAATTAACTTTGCAAAAACATCTTAAAATACATGTATATTGACCTTGCTTGAATAGCATTTACATAACGATAATCGTTTGTTTTAAAATGTTCATTTAATCAAGGATCATAAAAAAAAAAAAAAAAAAATTACTATGTACAATTGTAAATAAAAAGGCCTTTTATTGTTCATAATGATTGTGTTATTTAATATATTGTATTACTCATGTTAAAATCTCATGTTTATATCGTATGACTTATTATATTCTCATTATACCATTGTATCATAATATATATATATAAAAAAAAAAAAAAAAAAAAAAAACAACAAGAAAGAAAAAAAAAAAGAAAAATAATAATAAAAAAAATATATATTATTCCTCTTATATGTAATATTCTTTTTCTCAATATATGTATGTATAATATTTTAATATATGATTGGTGGAACAATCATCTTTTAAAAGGAGGGCAATTATTGTAATGTAAAATTGTGTTTTATATTGCTATTGTTTCATTTATGAAATATAAGGTATAGATTGTTGATGCTTTAAATTATCAAAGTAGATTTGACATGACTTTTGGACAAACTATGTTGTAAACTATTCATCTAACTATTCCTGATATTAATATAGATTATTGGTATCAATATGCTGTTATTAAGAATGGAAATTGAGTTTCTCAATTCCACAAAGACTGTTATATAACTTATTAGTCATTACAAGTTATAGATAAACAAATTTATAACAATTTCTATCATAATGAAAATCTAATAATGTATTCTGGGATTGATTGATTGATTGTTGGTTGCTTTACGCCGCATTAGCACAACAAGGCTATATCGCGGCGAGAGCTAATTCGAATATTTTTTACAATTTAAAGCATATTCTTAAAATCAGACAAAAGGTCCTTCAATAAACTAAAATTCTAGATTAAAGCAAATTGATTATTTACAAATAAAAATGAACATTAAGATAACGTGATAAAAATTTTAAATCGTTTTAAATATAATAACATTTTTATATTTTAGAATATATTCCAACTTCTTTTAAAAATGAAACAATATTTGTAAATGAAACATTATTAAATAAATCATACATATTATTGACATTGAAATGCTTCTTACGAATATCAGCAAAGTCAATACAATTGATTAAAACATGTTTAATAGTATACTTGCAGTTGCAAGGTATACATTGTGGTTCTACTTCATTTTTTAAAAGATATTCGTGTGTTATTCTAGTATGACCAATACGACATCTAGAAATAACACACTGATCTTTTCTGCACATAAAATTATTGAAAGGTTTACATAAATTAGGTTTAATTTCATGTAATTTATTACCATCTATTTTACTCCATTCATTTTTCAATATATTAAAAACATATTCTCTAATATTAGATTTAAAATCGGTATATGGTATATCACAGTTAGATAAAGAGTCACCCAGGGCATTCTTTGCCTCAAGGTCTACAGCTGTGTTTCCAAGGATTCCAACATGACTCGGCACCCATAGAAATAATATTTCTTTAAGGAGAATTTTTAAATTCCTCATTACATATAAAATTTTGAGAATTGTTGGGTTTTTAATTTGTATTCTGTATTTGTATTCTGGGACAAATAGCAGATGCGACATAAGGTTAATTAGTTTCTGTTTACTTGATGGTCAAATATTGTACACACATAAGATTAATACTAATTAAACAATTATCGTAAACATCTGGTTGTTTTGGCAATACTTCGAAATTCTATTAGTAGTGGTCAAGACATCAAAGATAATTTGATAATCAGTAATTACAATAAAGTCTATAAAAGCCTAGGTTTACAATTTGTGTTCAATTCGAACACTTATTGTATTCTAGGTAAGTTTGAAATAATTTGAAATAAACTATTTATTCTTAAGATAATTTCTAAAAGTTAAATTTATTTATTTTTCATTAAAGAAAGTTTTTAGATCATAAGTACTGTATTCATTATAACTGTTTTATTATATTAAGAACAATTAAAAATGTATGTTTCATTTTTATTAATGTTTCAATTTACAAATACTTTGGAAAAAACAATGTATTAAATAATAACTTATATTGTAATGTTTTAACTTTATTCTTCATAAAACAATTCGAACACTTATTGTATTCTAGCTTTTCCTGTTGCTGATTCCGGCCTATCTACCAATTGATTGTGAGTTTGTTTCCCCCTCATTGTGACATACGTCAATACTTTAGCAAGGATTATAAAACACAGTAACAATTGTCACAATATTAACAAAAGTGAATGACTATTTTTATATAAACTTATACAACAACAATCCTAGAAACCCAGGAAGATGCTCTCTTGGTTATGAAAAAATTAGGAAGAAACTCATTTATCATGACTCAGTCACAAATAGATCTGTGTAAGGAAGTATACCGGTGTGATTTTACCCATTTGAATACTAATATATTAAAGATGGAGGCTGATCTCATTATCAACGACAGCTGTAGGGTTGTGGTAAAAAAAAAAGAGGAAAACATACAAATGTATTCCTGATTGTTGGTGGAAAGAAACTGAAAATCTGCAGTCACCTTTGGAATACGCTTTGCAATTTAAAAGAAAGCGTTTTATTTTCATATTCGTTCATTGACGAACACTAGAGGAAGATGTCACAGATACAACCTTTGGAAGGAAAACTGTTATCAACCACACTGATTTTTCAATTGCGGAGGTAGTTGAATTGTTTGTAGTATTTTATTATTGTTTTCAATTTATTTTGACATTCAAACTTTGTACTTTGAAATTATATTGTAATTATTTCTTTATTAAATGAATAGCTAGTTTCTTGATATTCTAGTTTGGTTTTCTTTCCCGTTGCTGTTTCCGGCCTCCTACCGTGAGCCTCCCCCTAGATTGTGCCACAGTGCTTTACAATTGTCGGGTTATAAAAACATCTAAAATACCAACACAATATAATGGTAGAGGACCATGTTTAGCAACGAAAAGAAAACAGCTAAACCAGGAAAGACACCTGACAACTACACACCAAACTACACTCTGCCTTTGAAGGTTTGGATATCTTTGCAGACCAACAGGAAGACGTCATCAGTTTTAAGAAGGGCTATCCAATTGCAAATCTAGTTGCCAATTGTGAGACCAGCCTTTTTCTCAGTCGTCGCCTATACATCAACAATCCAATCCTTTCGTTTCATCGTGGACAGGGCAGCCAACTCTTCCATCGAGTATCACACCCGTACGACCATCTATTATACACAGGCCATTGATTCCTTCCACTCTTTCAAAAATACCGGCATCTCTGGCAGGGAATTTGCGGTTGCAGACACCACAGCATTTTGCTGCGTTATATCCTAGGTTGCCAACAACTGCAACCGCCACAACATCTATCACCACTACTGCAGCAAGTAACTCAACTGCAACAACTACATCAGTTACGACAACCACAACGACAGGAGCAGGAGCAGGAACAACAACCACAACATTACCATCAACTACGACAAATTCTTCAGGTAGGACAGTGCAACCTTCTATGAACATTTTTAACATGTCTTCAATTTTGAAAATTGAAAAATTTAAAGGTGACAATACTCTAAATCCTGAAACTTGCTTAAATAATTTTAATCAATATTGTAGTTTTTATGATTTGTCCAAGAAAAAGAGTGCAGAGTCATTTCCCTTTCATTTGGAAGGTCATGCCAAAATTTGGTATGACACGGTGTCTGATGCAAAGAAACAGCATTTTGATTTTTTTATCGCTGCTTTCAAAGATCGTTTTAAAGATAAACAACATCTTTTGGACATTACAATCTTACAAACACACCAGGGAAGAATGAGTCTGTACTTGATTTCTTAAAATTAGCTACTAACAGAAATATATCGGATGATGTATTGCTAGCCGTAGCAATGAATGGTTTAAAGGCTGATTTGAAAACAATAGTCATGACAAAAGAACCTAAAAATATTGAAGAATTTAGGCATGCCACAAATATTTAGTTCAATGGAAAGATAATTCAAACCCAACATGGGAACCGCAAGATAATGTTAGTCAAGCCTTAAAGATAGCATTTCATTCAGAAAAAGCGCACAAAAGATTAAAAAGAAGACGTTAATAAGTACTTAACTATTTCACAAGAGTGGCAAGCAATTGACAATCACATTATTCCACTTGATTACCTATATCTAAATTGTCCTTTATTTTGACCACTGGAAAAATTTATCCCCAATCTTTTGACCACCAGAAATCAAATTAATTCTTTTTTTATATTGTAGGCATGTCAAGATTTGGATTTGTGACTTTGCCATTTTTGCTTTTTGCCTTACTTTTGTCAACGTCAAAAGCAGATGAACAAAGAATAAATTGTGGAGTTATATTCCAAAATCAGCCTAATATTGACTTCACTACAGATTATTGGACACATATTTATGAAATCCCAATGTATTTAAACCTAAAACATAAATTGGTCACTAAATGTCCACAAGGAGAAGGTCGTCAATGTCAATCGTATGACAAAATTGTTGCACAAGTAAATTACATGAATGAATATATGAATGCACAAATTCAAGACACAAAATCATTAATAGACAAATTGGTACGGAGACTAAATAGGACCTTAATTGGCAAATCTACGAGAGCTCTAATTCCATTCGTAGGATCGATTGTAGGGGGGTTGTTTGGTCTTGTAACGGAAGATTCCATGAAAAAAATAGTAACCCATATTAATACCTTAACATCTGAAAACAATAAGATTTCAAATGCATTAAAACAATATGGAGGTAGCTTAGCGTCTTTTGGTTCACAAACAGAGAAAAGACTTGATAATGCATTGCAAGGTATTGAAAAAAATCATCAGGCTTTAACCTTTTTAAATACTCTTATTCAAAGAGATTATAAAAACCTTGAAGAACATGATACATGATATTTTCAATTCTAACAGATCAAAATCAAGATACTATTGCTCTTCAGAATTATAGAATTGATTTGAAAACAGCCATAATAAATTTAATAGAAGGAAAATTATCTCCTCTTCTTCTAAAACCGGATGTAATTAAACAAACTGTTTCGGATATTCAAAACATTTTAAATGCTAACTACACAGGATACAAAATTTAAACTTCCAACCCAAATTATTATTATAATTATGCTCAATATGTTGTTCTACAAAACAATACAAAATTGTATTTAGCAGTTCAATTTCCTTTAACAACACATGGCAAACTAATTGAAGATATAAACTAAAATCTTTTCCTGTAGCAGTTACTACTAATACTTCTCATACAACTCAACTTTTTGATTTACCAAAATATATGTTAATCACACATGATCGAAAATTTTTCACAACTCTTACCGTTGAACAAATGAATATGTGCCAAGGTATAACTCCAAAGCATTTAAATTTTAATCCTGTATTTGAATCTTCCAATACTACAGAATGTGCTTTTCATATTTTCAATAATGACAAACAGAAAATTAAAAACTTTTGCGATTTTAAATTTTTGACTTATTCCATTTCACCACATATTGATCAAATATCAGAAGATTCAGTTCTGATTTGTAAATATGATATTTTAAATCTAAGGTGTAATGACAAAAACATAACAGTATCATGTTGTTCCTTTTGTATTTTTAAGATCCCTTGTCACTGTATTTCACTTTCTAAAATGTCACACTTTACAACGAAATTATCACTGTGGGTAAATGGAACAAATGATTTTACTAAACTCCATCCAGTTAATTTAGCAATTTTACAGCACTTCTTGTGATGATACAAAAATTGCAAACATCCTTGCTAGCACAACTTTCACTAATCCAGTTTCTATCTCTTTACCAAATTTCACGATATACAAAAAATAAAATGGAACATATTTTTGCTAAAGATGAAAAGTATCACCTCAATTTAAAAAAATTGTTCACTAGAGTCAAGAAACAAAATACTATATATTCTACTTGAGCTGATTCTATGGTTGATGGACAAATTGATCTAAACTTTGAAAAATGGCCTACTACGAATGATATATTATCATTAATAGCAATTATTATTACTTCACTAAACACATTTGTTCTTATCTGGTTATTCTATAAATTCAAAGTCATCGCTGCCGCAATAGCTATATATCAACCTGTCCAAACGTCTGCTACTACGCTCCCAAATTTTAAATTTCAACCTGCAACAACTCAGGCACCTACTACTTGGATTAACGTATTGAATTCCAATATAACTTGGGATCATGCTGTTTTTACATTAGCTTTTACTTCCTTTTTAATGACGATTATTTTGATAATTAAATCCTTCAAAAGAACAAATATGAATACTAAATTATGCTTAAAAATAACAACAGGTTTCGATTGTGTTTGTATTCCAATTCTTTCAATGCCTTTATGTCCAACATATTGGGATGTTCAATATCCAAACATTATTGACAATTTAACTGTTGTAAATTACATCAGGCCTAAGTTACATATTTCGTATCCAAATTTTACTGTTCGAAATAAAAATACTTCCCAATTCATTTCTGTACCTGAAATTATCGATCTGAACATTTTTCAAACATGCGCACTAAGGTCAATACTTAAACACCCATTTTCTGTTTATATTATATTACTTCATCATAATATTAAATGTCCAATTGACAATGTCAATATGCTAGCAACAAATATTGATACCCCAGGTCAAACAAACAACCGCAAAACTATTGTATACTCTTCTACCTTATACTAATATTCTCTTTTCTATTCCTCAGATTTACCAGAACTTATGGATATATTTACCCTTTCACCGTCTCAAGTCTGGAACAAATTAATAAACAATCATGATGACATAGATTTTCTAGATGCAACTAATTATTTATTATCCTACGGGTTCGATCCATTTTCCTATTCAACTCTGCAATCATCCTGTCTGAATAATCTTGTTAAAAATCCAGAAATAGAAATTCCCCATAATGATTTACCCCCGTTCATTAGTTTATATATAGATTATTTCGAAAAATTACAAAGATCCTATCAGAGACAAATCAAAAGCTACTTTCGTTAAATAGGGAAATTCTGTCAATTTACAAAGCTGATATACATTTACCATTTATTTCTCGTTTATTAAAATTTAATTTTCAAAATATTGCAAAAGAGGACCCATTCAAGTTAGACTTCCCTCTTATATATCAAATAATCCCCAAATCGCCTAACACAGATTTAAGTGCGCTTATAAACGCGAAAAAATTGTATAAGCTCACTGCCATTGTGATACATTAATAAATTATAGAACAAATTTAATGTGGAATGACCCACTACCTCCGTTCATTGAGGAAAATTATGTCCCTTGTTTCGTAAGAAAAGGGAAAATCGTTAACGTAATAAAAGTTTACTGAATCTTAATTAATGACATTTACATTACGACGTGTATTGTTTCAAAATAGTCATTTAATTCAGTATCTGCATGTACATCTGTAAATATTTAAAGGCCTTTAGATCATCAAATATATGTTATTCATTATTATATATATATATATATATATATATATTTAAATTGTGCTCTATATGTTTTAATTTTCATTGTGTATTTCCTTGTATTATATATATGAAAAAAAAAAAGAAAAGAAGATTACACAAAGAAAAAAATATATATTGTTTTCTTATTGAGTGTTATTCTCCGTGTTCATATATTTAGATTGGCGGAATAATCTCTTTTTCAAAGGGAGAGCGATTATTGTAATAGAAAAATGCAGTTTATTTTATTTCGTATAGTTCATAAGTTGTATGTAAGTTCTACTCTGTAAACTATTTTATATAAAATTATTGTTTAACTGTTCTATACATTTTCAAAGCGTAGGATATTTCAAATATGTCAAATAAATACTTTATAACAAACTATTGAACGTATCTGTGCAATAAAACTTCAGCTGTGGCCAAATGGACCTTCGATTATAGTAGTGTAAAATGGATGGTTTAACAACACACCCCCGCTGATTTTCTATTGTCTACCCATTTTGTACAAAATATGTGTGGTATGTGATCCACACAGATTTGCGGCGTAAGCAAAATCTATACATTATACAAAGAGCGACAACCTCGTTTGAAAATAATGACAAAGTTTTGTTCATTCTATACAGTGTATGTATATAAGTGTAAGTAAGAAATTAAATACAAGACCAGGTTGTAACTTGCAATATGTTTGGTATGAACGCGTGGTTGAAAACTTTTAAGCTCCACTAATCATATTTAAAAATTTGAAGAAAAAAAAAAAAAAAAATGATTCCCATTCATATACTAAAATTTGCTTAATTCATTTTATTTGTATATTTTTATAAGAACTTTAGTTATAACTTGCTAAAAAAGCTATATCAATTTTTGTCAATCATTTGAAACATCATTTTTGTAAATTAAGCATCCATTTAAGTCCAAGTATTTACTTGGTGATCTGAATTGAATAGGTGACCCAATATTCTAGGTGTATATATATATATACATATATATATATAGTTCGACAACCTCACTTAAATGTGAATATCCGCTGTGCCAGTCATGAAAAAGTGTAAACGAAGGTATGTAATTTCAACGGTTGAACACAAGTTTTTATCCTTTATCATATGATATTTCAGCTGAATCTACATTATTATCAGATACAGCTATAAACCACATCGTATAAGGAGATGAACATTTTATGTATTATGAAACCGAGCAATGACCACAACATCTATTGAGTGCAAATCGCTTTACTAAGATTAACAAATTAAATCAACAAGAAGAAAATCATTCAGAATCTGAATTGGAAAAGAAAGAAAAGACAGAAAAAAGAAAAAACTCATAACAATATATATCGTTCTCTTTTCTTTCAAATGAAATATACATGGGAGATAACCACAGCGTGCCTATGTGAAAATGTTCCATTCACATGCATAAGGCGGGATATCTTTTGAATTAAATAAATAGATGTTAATGTGTTAGTTCCTATATGATTAATACTTATTAATACTGTCCTGTCGTAAACATTTAGGTAATTATATTCTAATTTCCATTCACCTTACTGTTGTAAATGCTATACCTACCAAAGATCAGCGATACCCTTTCAGTACTCCAACTGTCATTTCATAGTTGTTGAAAGTGAAAAATAAACCCTGATTAATCAATAAATCAATTTTATTTTGAACATATACACCCTCTATACCTCAGTGTACATGTATGAAAGTGTAAGAAATAAAATATATATGTCATTCCCCGAGAAACGATAAAACGGGGGCAATTAATTTTTTTTTTTATGTGATACTAGAAAATATCTATCAATATAAAATATCTATATGTAATTTGGAATTTTAGACCTTTTAGACCTTTTAGACCACCAACTCAAAATTAGTTTTATAATCATTAATAGTTAACCTCACACCCCGGTACTGTATGTAAACAAAAGTGTGAAATTTCAATTCTGTTCTTCTATATGGTGAATTATATACTTAATCACATTGTCATAACACGAAACTGATGAATGAAATTTCAACTGAAATAACATTATAGATATTCATCAACGTATTTAACCTGAACCACAGTGTGACCGGACAATCACCATGATAAAAAGAAAGAAAGAAAGACTCTACAACAACATAGAAAAAAAAACAACACAGACTTATGATACAAATATAATTACACCGATTATTAAACTTTATTGCATTGACTGAAAACTTTTCAAAATCTGAACTAAATTCATAAATTTTCTTAACTTTTCTACGAACTATTTGTTTACGTAAACAAAAGGGGTGTCTTCGTTGAGGTCCGCGTTCAAAGATCAACGTTCTACACTAAAGGCATAACTAAAAGATAAACAAAAGCGTACTATATAACTATGCAATATCACATTTTAATTATTTTGTAATAATTATGAAATTAAATTACACAGTTGATCTTTATACGCGTTAAACGAAAAAACCACTATATATATAGTTTACACAACCGATCGCGCTTATCGTTTATTTATACACATCCCCCCCTTTTTACATCAAGTTCAGAATCAAGATGGCTTTCACCACGATAATTAACCGCGCATTCACCTGATCAAAAATATGTCACATCTTTCAGCAGCAGTGATTCTTGTAATAATATACCAAATAGTCATCATACAAATGCGAGAGTTGAACTTACAACATTGTACAGTACATGCAGATGTCGCGTTCTGTAATATCCGTCCAGGTCGTTTGGACACAGGAGTGTACAGTTTTGTGGGAGGTGAAATACCCCCGGCCATATCCCGAGTCATTTTTGAGAGGATAGACAAGGATGTCATATTAAGAATAGAAAAAAACAATGCACCGGCGTTGAGGGTATTAATTGCCAAACTGGGAACATGCCCCGAAATTGAAACAAATGTCAATCACACCATCCACGTTGAAGTGGGTGGAAAACGGTGTCATGTAAGTTCAAGTCTCAACCTCTGATATATGAAATAAATGAAAAATATCTGTTTGTATATACATTGAGTCTCGCAATATCACCCAAAACACCTTTGATTTGTTCATATACTTTTAATATGAGACAGGCGCTACCTGAAATGCCAGCCAATACGGAATTGACCCGATGTTGGTTGTGCCATTAGTACAAAAATGTTTTATAGGGAAATCCCCTTTTTATTTCTGACGACATTATGTAAACAACAAACGCAGTTTGAACTGTTATTTAAGTTTTCTAAAATTTGTAAAAGTAGAACATGCAAGTCCTTTACTTTATTTACAATGCAGGTGATCTTGTTAACCTAGAATCCTGGTGAAATATTTTCGTTGTCGCAAGCAAAATTTATATACCGCTTACTGTATTGAGATTAATCGTATGAGATTTAACGAGAGCGATGAAACTTTTCAGATGGGTCATGTAGAGAGAGAACTATCGTTCTTTAATTTGATACCTCTACCATAAGTGCCTGCTTCGCTGGCATATAACTTGCTTTGCTAACATTTGATCCAAGTGTTGAAAACATCTAAATGCATAAAATGGACACATCATAGAAACATCAACTATAAAATACCATTTTCAACTGTTTTATTGATCCCTTAAGGTATTATTTTGTCACATTTGCAATGTTTTCCCCATCTCCATTCTTTTACCATTCATAGTCCTGATAACATGTAAATTGTTTTTGTTATACCTTCTAGATTTGGAATCTCAAAAGTATCATTGCAACTCCAATATTTTAATTTACCATGCTGGATGGTTTAGTATCAAGACAGCACAAAATAAATAATAACTAGTATGTCAGACTTATTGGTATAAATTTCTATACTTTGCACTGGTTACCTAATTATTTGTATGACATAATAACATGTATTTAATATATATATATATATATATATTATATGTGCACATATGCAGTATAACTATAAAATACAAATGTATAATAAATGGCAATTTTTTTTTTCAGTATGAAGTTTCCACAGTTATGACAACTAAAGATTCCACCACTGCAACTAGTTCAACAACAACAACTAGTACATATGCGGATACAACCACAACAACTACATCCATTGACACGACCACAACAACTACATCCATTGACACGACCATGACAACTAAAGCACCCACTGACATAACCAGAAGAAATATGAAATCCACTGATGCAACCATGAAAACTACAACTATGGAGTCAACCACAACTGTTGATTCAGCGACTGGTTCCACCATGTATGTACCCAGTGGAGAAAACCTAGAGACAACAAGGCGTGAATCGACCACATACTTCCAACGACACACAAAAGCAGACCAGAACTATCATTATCCAGAGGATGTTAAAACATACCTTTTATGGTTTATAACCATTACTGCCTGTAAGTATACAAACTAATTATCACACATAATATTAAGATAATAAAATGTATTTACTACACGTTATACAGTTTCATTCATGCAACATTTCAAGATGAGTTGAACACAAAATTATACAAAACACACCATACCAAGTTTCAGAACTCGCATGCAAATATGTTTTTGTGACTGCACATGTATATTGTTATGCATCATAACATCACTCCTCATGTATACATTCAAACAAGCACCTGTTCAGACATCCATAAATGTTAAATTTACACAAACCATATTTTTTCAGTGTGTTTAATCCTGACCATTCTATCCATAACACTCTTCATGTGTAAAGGATCAACAAGAGGACGAAATTGCGTTCTAGCATTTCTACAAAGATGGTTTGGGTGGTGCATTTGTTTTAGAAAATCATTATCCAACGAGTTGGTATTAGAAGACTTCCCAAGACAAGATTTCCCAAGGCGGATTTCAGACACGATTGTCAATGCAGATTCTGAAAATGAGTTTGAAATTTCTTTATAAATTGTTCTTATTTTGTTTTAGATGTTTATATGAGACGGTTTGCCAGACACTTCAATATTGTCATGCCAAACTTACATATCAACCCGCAAAACCATCACATAATGTTCAACCCACCTGCAAATCCACACCTGTTAATCTGCCACTACCAGCAAACCCACCACAGGAAAATCAAGCACAAGCAAACAATCCGCCTCAGGGAAATCAGCAAATGATTATTCAACCACCTGTTAATCTACTATTACCAGCAAACCCACCACATGAAAATCAAGCACAAGCAAACAATCCGCCTCAGGGAAATCAGCAAATGATTATTCAAGCACCTGTTAATCTGCCACTACCAGCAAACCCACCACATGAAAATCAAGAACCAGCAAACCATCTGCATAGGATGTCATGCAGGATACGGAAGCGAACGAAAAGATATGGATTCGATGACTGACTCTGTTGGGATATCATTTATTTATGTTAATATCAATTGAAATATGGTCTTTAAAACTACTTTTCATATTTTTTTTTAAGTTGTGCATGTGTTAATGTCAAGGTCAAGTTTTTTTTTTTTTTTTAATACAATTGTTATTGATATTTATGAGATCTGTTTATATCAATCTTTTTTGGTTTTCCTAATTTTCATGGTTGTTATTTGCAAAGAAAAGAAAAAATGACATTTTTTTTTTTTTTGTGGTAGAATCATTAGTATCTTTTTCAACATTTTTTCACATACAAGTTTGAATTGTATGGAAGAAAAAATGTTGCTCATATTATTTAAATATTGTATAAAAGTAATTGGTGTAGTTTTTTATGATATTTTATTTTACCATGTTAAGAAAGATAAAGTAGTACTAAGTCTACCTTATAATTTAGCAATGAATCAAATCCAAAATAATACATTTAAAAAATGATTTGGCAGAGCATATATTCCATACCAGTATGAAAGAGAAAAAAATATATATTGATATTAAAGTTATTGGTTCATGTTTACTATGCATGCTCTTTGATAATACTCATTCTAGTATAATGAGTTACATTCATGATATCATATTAAGTTTTGAATTGTCAATTTCTCAGTGGAATAAAAATGTTACCCATATTATTTTATATTATATAACAGTAATTGTTACAATTTTTTATGAAGTTTTGATTTTACATTTTTATGACATTTTGATTTTACATTTTTATGACATTTTGATTTTACATTTTTATGATGTTTTGATTTTTACCATGGGGAGATTAAGTATTAAGTAGTAGACTACCTCATAGTTTTCCAGTGAACAATTTATCATTTAGAAATTTGTAGTTATGTTGTTTTAACTTAGTCTTTCAATGGATTATATTAATGTGATTGTTATTTTTTTTATTTTACCATGTTAATGAAGATTAAGTAGTAGTCTACCTCACAGTTTTCCAGTGGACATTTATTGCTATTTAGAAATTTGTAGTTTTGATATTTTAACCCAGTCTTTTAATGAATTATATTAATGTAATACTCAGATAGTTATTTTTTGGGAAATTCATAGTCCTCCAATAAAATACTTTTTATATGCAATAATTCAATTTAAAAATTTGTAGTTTGTGTTGTTTAAACCTAGTCTTTCAATGAATTATATTAATATGATTGTTATTTGGAAATTTGTAGTTCTGAACTGTTAATTAAAAAAAGGGTTAAGTTTGTGTTGTTTAAACCCACCCTTTCAATGAAATATATTAATATGATTGTTATTTGGAAATTTGTAGTTTTCAATTGTTAATTAATTAAAAAAAAAAATGTTGTTTTGCTGTTTAAAATAAAACGGAATCAGTAATGAAATTATTTTTCTTTGCTACATTTTACACAGAAAGTTCACTAGAATGGTTACTCCACATCTCAATATAAAACAAGACCGCTAATGCTAAAGATTGTCATTGAACACTAAAATCCTGTGTGCATACAGTTTACCTCTACATCTATTATATACACTTGTGGTGAATGTATGGGGATACAAATGATGATACAGGTTTAGAGAAGGGTATAATGGCATATAAGACATGTGAAGATTTCAATCATATATTCAGCTCTATATGGACAGTACAAACATGCAATGTTTCAAATATCTCTAGTTGCAACAGTCAAGGTTCTCCACTAATACCATGTTGTTCATCTGTCATTGAATCTATGTGAAAAAAGGAAAGATAAAAAACAAAAGGTCACTTATTTGTTAACAAGAGGCTTCAGATTGCTGTTTAATTTTGAAGGGATAAAAGAACACCAATGGTTTAAAAAAAAACAATCAAAACCTATGCATATACAGAAACTCACTTGTGAATCCGATCAAAAATTTAAATTATGAAAGTTTGGTCATTTAAAATTAATTTTAAGGCTCTAGGGTCATATTTTATAAAAAAAAACAATGAGGGAGGAAGGCATTTTTTCAAAACCTTTTTATTGTCTAAAATGAGGCAGCTTTTTACATTTTGTAAAAACTGCAAAAAGTGATGAATTTAAGGGATAATGAGGCACCTTAAAAAAACAATGAGAGAGGACCTGAGAACCTTAAAATTAATTTTGTATAGCCTTTTAACAAGTATGCAGACCTACAAGAACCAATATAGGGAGAAAATCCAGGTGTGTAACAGATCAAAATTTATATTTATATTTCAAATAACTTGATTTTTAGACATGATTTTGAACCGAATTTCAACAAAGAAAAACTTCTTAATAAAAAAAAAAAAAAAAAAAAAAACATACATACATACAAAAAAGACTTCGAGAAAGAAAACATACCAGCTAGCTGTTTCAAATCATCACATCAAAGAATATAGTTGTCCTCAGAATCAAAAGAACAAGGCGTCCATATGGGTGAAGAGGGTTGTGAAACTTTGTCACCTCCATCTATGCCGTCTTGACCTGAATCGGACCACGCAAAAGAAGTTATATCACTATCTCCATCATCATCATCATCATGTATCTCATCAGCTATCACAATTGGATTTTCAACAGAACCCAACTCATCATCTATTATTATTGGGTTATCGATAGAACCAGGTAGGGGTTGAAAAATAATTACATTCACTAGTATATATAGAGATGTTCCAAAATGAGAAAACGGTTGAAAAATATAACAGAAATCCATGATTGTCACTGATTGTGTGTATGTAAATTTATTAGATAACTATTATTGAAGACGATATGGAAATGATCACATATGCTAGGTTCGACGTGGTTAAAGGTAGGATAAATTTATCATTACATCTCAGTTTTTAAATATTTAAAGGGTCATTTTATATACATTTGAGTATAAGAGTATCTGAAACGTATTTTGGATGATGTACCTTATGTTATGGACTCGATTTTAGTTGCAAACGAAGAACCTTTAGAAAGTAAATAACAGAAAACAAGTTACAATCTGTGTACACAAACAGTGTCTTGTTAACCCGCCCATATTAAACCATTGCCAACCTACCCGGTTTTTTCTTTTTCTTTTATTTTTGATCGCTGCCAATGAAAATGCCCCACAATAGAAAAAAAAGCTACAAGACAGGAGAAGACACCACGCTATTCCTCCAATGAAACAAACCTGAATTCATTATAAACGTGGGATCCAATAAGAATTCGCAAAGATTCACCAATGAAATTATGATGGATGCACGTGGACATATTATATTTTGCAATAAATAGGACAACGAATGTGTTTCAATTTCATCTACGTCTTCCTGAAGACAACGATATAAACCTGCAACCATGAACAACGAACTTGCAACAGTATACGACGGTGAAAATATTCTCAAGGTGTCTGGGACCTTCGGGAAATCCAAGACAGTCACGATCAACAATTTTGGTGGAGTGACCTATTGTCATTTGAAGGCTCCAAAGAAGGACGCACCTGGATGGAATACCTACACAATGTCGTTAGCAGAGTATAGAGAATTGGTGCGGTTGGCTGGGCCTACTGTGGTGACTAGTATAGCTCAAAATTTTGATGTACAGGTATGTTCTTTTTTTGCTTTTGAAAACATTTTGACATTTATATTTTGAAATTTCATCGGTTCATTAATTAGCATCAGCGTGTTGTGAGTGAACATTTCTCGCTTTCATATCCGGTGGGGATTTTTTTATCACAATTTCACTTTAAAGTTTTATACATGGTATAAGGTGCGATTGACCGGTATTATCCCCAGCAACGGTAGTAATAGGGATGTAATATTGAATATAATTTTGAGACAAATCTCTTTGTTTAATGCAAATCTACAATAAAATTATAACAGAGAAGCAACACACCGACATTTAATGCTTAGCGTGATATTAGAAGTAATTTATAGTCAAATTTATATTTTGATTTTTGATATACATATAAAGAACGACAACTCTATTTGAAAATAGATAACAATTAGATAAAACCAGTTTTTTTTTTTGTTTTTTTTGTTTTTTTTGTTTGTTAACTCCATATAATATTTATTGTAGAATAGGGAGAACAGGGACCGGGAGAGAGCGGCCCTAGAAGCGGCATCAATGGAGGAACCAGCTGTGGATCCTCCAATTCAAAGGCGGAGGAAAGTGGTGGGAACCCCAAAAGAGGAGGAGGAGGAACAGCAGGGGGCAACTCGCGAGAAGCGTCAAAGGCGGATCGTGGTAATAGACGACGAGGAGGACAATTAAACAACATAAGAACATTAGTTCTAAAACAGCAAAGTATAATTAGTATTAAAAACTCTATAACCATGGTACCAGTAACTCTGTTAACGAGGGATGCGGTTGTTAAGTTACCGACTTCCCTTATAATGGAAGTATATAAACAATTCGATATGGATTTGGACAAAAACGACTGCGGGGCAATAT